TGGTTAAAATGAAACTCCACTAAAATATTTAGTGACGTTTCACTTTAATCGAGGAAAAACACAGATAGGTGTGTGTGTATATAAAATATAGGGCTGTGCGAAACAGCACCATTTCATTTCGACTTCCATTTTGCCATTTCAAAGGGACAGTGTTTCGTTTCATCATTTAATTTTGTTTCAAAGCACTGTTCCATTTTGTTTTATCCAAACTGTTTCACTGTTTCAACGTGTTTCAACGTTTCACCCATAGGCTATAATGGGGAATCATGAAAATGCCTATAACTTTGTTATTTCTTGCCTGATTCACATGATTGCACGGATGGTAGCCCCCTCTGAGGGCATGAAGCCTGCCAAGTTTCAAGGACATGGGTGCAGGGGTTTCTGGGAAACTGCACCTCAAACTGTTCAAAGCAAGACTCATATCACTTGCCAGCAGCAGCAGCCTGCTGTCATCCTGCTCGCAGATCTGGGGGCCCACACCCCTGGGAGGGCTGTGCTGGACTCTTCCCAGCAGGTACAGGCCCCCAGATCTGCACGTGGGATGACAGCATGCCAACGCCAGCACCTGAGTCTGCCTAGTGCAGCCTACGCCGAGCACCCGGAAAAACCCAGCACTGACGCTGGCCCCAGCTGGCAGTGGCAGCCTGCTGTTAGTTGGCACACAGATCCAGGGTCTCACACCCCTTGGAAGGGCTGTGGGGTTATGCCAGAATCCTTCCAGGTATGGATCTGCCTACAGGATGACACCAGGCTCCCGCTGCCAGATGGGACCAGTGCTGGGTGCAGCCCGTGCTGAGCACTGGCCAGGAGGCCTGGTGCTGCTGCTGGCCCCAGCCGGCAGCGGCGGCATGCTGTCATCCTGACATAGCCCTGCAGCCCTCCTGGGGGGGCCCAAGATGACAGCATGCTACTGCTGCCAGCTGGGGTCAGCAGCAGCACCAGGCTTCCCAGCCAGTGCTCCATACAGATTGCGCCCAGCACCAGTCCCAGCTGGCAGCAGCAGCCTGCTATCATTCCATATCATCCTGTGGCCCATGACCCCCGGGAAGAGTTGGGAGAAGTGTGATCAGAGAGCTGGGGAATCAAACGTGGAGCTAGATGGGTAGGAATATCAGAGAGCAATCCTTCCCCCCTCTTTCCCCTCCCTCTCCTTAGTTTATGATTAGCTGCCCTTTCAGGTAAACAGCTCAGTGGAGTTTCATTTAAATAGTGGAAAAACATGGATTTGGGGATTTATTTAAATCAGAGAATTTTCAATATATATGTGCATCAGTTGAGCACAATGCTTTATTGATATATTTACAATTTTAAAGCAATTTGGAACCCTACTGGTGCCTCTATCATCATCATAAAATAAATTCTAAATACCTCCATATTCTGGCGTTTGATTTTGGTTTTTTTATGACAGAAAAATCAGAGCTGCCCCCACCCCCATTGCTCACCAGGATTTGGGTCTAGTTGTGGCCATCCCCCCCTGCCCTGCTGCTTTGTAATGCTAAGCAGCCCTGACATGCCAGTGTCCTGCCCCTGCCCACACCATTGCCCCTCACTACCAACCCACCCCCCTCAAGCTCTGCTGGTGCCCCTCACTCCTGACCCACAGTCCCCCATCCCTGCCAGTGTCCCTTACTTCCAACCCACCATACCTTGCCTCCCTCCTCAGCCCTACTGGTACCCCTCACTCCCACCCCACAGTCTCCCATTCCCCAGCCCTGCTGGTGCCCCTTACTCCTGACCAGCTACCCCTATCCTTTGGTCCCAGGCCCCCCCCCATGTGTGAAGGAAGGGGTGGGTGCATAGGCGTTGTGTAGGGGTGGCACAGGCAAGACATGGGAGATAGGCCTGTGCAAATGGGGAACTATTCAATTCAGATTCGGCTGATTCAGATGCCAGAGATTCGATTCAGAGATCTGAATCATTTTCCTGATTCGATTCGGCTGAATCGCTTCAGAAGATTTGGAGCCGATTCAGAGTTTTGGCCATAGGGTATAATGGGGAAATCAATGAAATATCTATAATATTGTTGTCTTTTGGCTGATTAAGATGAAACTTGCAGGGATAGTAGCCTCTGCTGAGCGCATGATGCGTGCCAAGTGTCAAGGTGATAAGTGCAGGGGTTTCTAGGAAACTGCACCTCAAAATGATTGGCTGAAGGGTCGCACTCAGAGGGTGGTGGTGGATGGGTCATATTCGACCTGGGGGGAGGTGGGTAGCGGAGTCCCCCAGGGCTCGGTCCTAGGGCCTGCGCTGTTCAATTTCTTCATCAGCGATCTAGATGATGGGGTGGAAAGCAACCTGTTTAAA